AGTCCTTGCTCTAGGCCTGAGGGGCAGTTCTTTCATACTCAGCTTGTGTTAACTGCATGGTCCCAGCAGCTACTCAGGAAACTTAAATCAAAACCACAATAAGATATCACTTCACAACTACTACAATAACTTAAAAAACAAGGCAAAACAAAATAAGTAAAAAAAAAAAAAAACCTACCAAAAAATGTTGGCAGGATGTGGATAAATTAAAACCTTCCCTTGTGTATTGCTTGGGGGAGTATAAAATGGTGTTGCATAGCTGTTCTGGAAAATAGCTTGGTACTCAAATGCTAAACAAAGAGTTACCATATGTATTAATCTGCTTGGATTGTCAAACAAAATACTATAGGTGAACTGGCCTGGTAGCCTAGTGGTTAATGGGGCTGGATCAACATGGCTGACTACAGTTTGAATACCAGACCCAACAGCTTGAAAAACATGCTCAGTGCATGTGTGTTTGCCTTCAAGCTTCTCACAGGATGGAGAAATAGAAGAGAAGAGATTGTGGCATAACCATATCACTTTCTCCCTCACTGTCTCTCTCTGGTGAGAGTTTGTGCCCTCTGGCAATTAAAAATACGTCATTAGGCTGTATGACTTAATTAAATGTGAGAAATTTATTTCTTACAGTTCTGGAGGTTGGGAAGTCTAAGAAAAAGGTGCCAGATGATTTGATTCCTAGTGAGAAGTCTCTTTCTACCTTATATGTACCTGCCTTTTCAATGTGTCATCACATGGTAGAGAGAACTCTGGTGTGTCTTCTTCTTTTTATAAGGGCACTAATCCCATTATGAGGACCCACCCTAACAACCCTGTCCCCATCTTCAGTCTGGTGATATTTTGATTATTCATTGATGCCCAGTTTAACTATCTCCTCCAATGATAAGCTGTTGATCCTGTCAACTCTCTTTGCAAACAAGTACCTCTCTATTGAAGCATTTCTTGATTGTCTCAGTCCATCAGAGAATTGCTAATGGAAATACTTGATATTTGTTATTATATAAAGATTTAAAAAGAAATTTATAAAGAAAACAGATGTTTATTTACAAAACTTACGATTCCAGTAGTAGGTCCAAAGGCATCACAAAATGACAGAAGGGAAAATTGTTAGTAGAGCAGAGCATGGTCTTTATCCATGTGGTTTCCATTCATCTCATTTCCTCTCCGTATATACATATCAGAACTCAACCATGGGGGCCCTGCCCTCATGATATCCTCATACCAAAAGGCCCCACCCTTTGACACTATAATTATATCAAGTTTCCACTCTCTTAATCCTATTACAATAACTTAACACGGGAATTTGGGGAGGATATATGCAAACTACGGTGATGTTATAATTACCTCTCTCATTAAAAAAAATCTACTTTATTTAATCTTTGACAGACAAAGAGGTATCCCCAACAGTGTTGCATCATGCTGTGATCCTCCCCTCCACATGAAATTTAGAAATTTCCCTAAATCTAGTTACTTTCCGAAGGCACCATCTCTAAACACCACCATACTGGTTGTTAGAGCTTCAAAGTATAGATTTGGGAGGGGGCAATTTTGTCCATAGCACTATATGACCCAACAATTGCCCTCCTATACACAAAAGGTTTGAAACAGGGATTCAAACAGATATTTGTATAACAGTATTCATTGTAGCATTATCCACAATAGTCAAAATGCGGAAACAACCCAAATGTTCACCAATTGATGAGTGGATAAACAAAATGTACAGTAGTATACACATATAGTAGAATATTCAGCCATGAAAATGAATGAAGTTCTGATACAGGTTCGACGTGGATAAACCTTGAAAACATAATCTCATGCAAAATAAACTAGACACAAAACCACAAATATTGTATAACTCCACTTATATGAAATATCTAGTGTAGATAAATTCAGAGTCAGACAGAAGACTAGAAGTTACCAGGGGTTGGTGAAGAAGGATATGGGGAGTTATTGCTTAATGGGTATGTGGTTTCTGTTTGGGCGATAAAAAATGTTCTGGAAAAAGATAATGGCTATGCAACACTGTGTGTGTAATTAATACAACCAGATGCACACTTAAAAATGGTTAAAATGGCAATTGTTATTACGTATAATGTATTTTACCACAATAGAAAAAAAATTAGAGAAGTTAGTATACAGGGCAAGCCCTATAACAACAAGGTTAAGAGCTAGGCATAGAAAATCAAATCCCACATGGCTGACTGCAGTTTGAATTCCTGCCTCAGCAGCTTAAGAAACACACTAGGAGCATGTGCATGCATACCCAAAGTTCTGATGGGATGGAGAAATGGAGGAAAAAGGATTATGGTGTGTCTACATCCCATTGAAGGTTGCTTTCTCTCTCTCTGTGTCTTTCTCTAGAGAGCACATGCACCCTCTGGCCAAAAAAAAAAAGTTTGCAGAAAAAATAGTGTACATACTATCATCTAGAGAGAGAAAGAAAGAAAAAAAAGTACATTATCCATTATAAACTTTCATTCAAGTCATTTTGGGGCCACTCCATTGCTAATTTGCATGATAGGTGAAATATGCATACTTTTTTATATGTATATATAACATGGCGATGATGATGATGATGATGATGATGATGATGATGATGATTGTACAACACTGTGAATGTAAATAAAGCCCCCAAATTGTACATTTAAAAATGGTTAAAACAGCAAATTTTATTTTTGTCCAACTATGCTGTAAGGCCCCCCTAAATAAACAAACAACAACAACAAAACACCAAAGTGGACAATTTCATTGAGAATATCTCCCAACCAGATGTATACTAGTGTCTCCAACAAATTAAACTCTGTATAATTGGCTCCTGGGAACTAGATTTCTGAGAATACTAACCCCTTTTATAGACTGTCTCCATTCTGTAGGGATTAACAATTAAGTTAATGTATACTTAATGAGGATAGTGGAAAAGGAGATAACAAAACTGAAATTAAAAGGATATATGTTTTTTCTGTGTTCTACCCAAATTAAATCAGTGATGAGAAACAGTAACACTTGATTTTATTGTCTTATCTCTCTATGCATAATGTTCAAAATTGTACCTGCTTTTTTGCCAATGGGCCGAGGTTTTGTTGTTTTTAAATATGGACTATAACATAAATACCAAGAAATATATAAGTACCTATAAGTTTATCTGATTATTGATAGAGAAAGAAGAAATGTCAGATCAGGACTGGATGGATACCATGACTTATACAATATTTGTTACCTAAATCTTTGTGTTTTGGAATTCATTCCCCAATATCAAGGGTTGGGAGGTGGTGAGAACTTAATGAAGTGAGGCCATGGGCAATGATTGGATCATGGAGGCATCATTCTCATGAAAGGATGGATGATGTCTCACAAGATCCAGTGAGTTCTAGCGCTGGTGAGAAAAGAGTTGTTATAAAAGGAAGATGGCTGTCCCCAGGTCTTTCCCCCTGCATACACCTGCCATCCTTTCTGCCTCTGCTGGCTATGTTGTGATGTAACTGGCCTGATGCCAGCCTCATACTATGGACTTTCCAGCCACGGCAATCACAAGTCAAATAAATTTCTAGTCTTTATAAATCACCCAGACTCAGGTATTCCTGTAAGCAACAAGATAGTAGACTAAGGCAGTGAAGATGGGGTAGAGGAGGAAAAGGACAGAGATGGAGGGGGCTTAAATCTCCATCTACCCACCTACATTCTCTGTCTTCAAATGCTATTTCTAGACATCTATGGCTACGTGAGAAGTCACAGTCTTCTTCCATAGTACTGCAAGTGAAGTTAAGCTAACAAATCATCTTTTGCAGTCTGTGGAGACCCTGGAGCTATCTAGAGACACGATGACTACTGATGCTTATGCTGTACTCCTTAGTTCTCACATTTCCCCCCAAGAGACATAAGCAATAGAGTTTTAGAGAGCTTGCCAGATTTTTATATTCTAACAAGCAGCCAAAAAAAAAAAAAAGAAAAAAAGAAAGAAAAAAGAAAAGAAAAAATCCAAAGCAGGTATATTAATTCAATGAGAATTTTACATATTTATGTGTTCAATTGTCATCCCTTAGGACTCTCAGGGCTTTTCACTACAGGAAGAGTATATTGAAACTGAAAGAAAATATTCCTAAATATATAGCACAGAAGAGGTTTTTGATGCATTCAGTATGTTATTATATAGCAGAAAAAAATACACATGCAAATATGAAAGTTTCTTGGCTTTCCACATAGAATGTAATAAAAAGAAATCAGAGGTTAAATGTTAATAACACTTACAAAAGTAGCTAGAAACATGATTATATTGAATTTCATAGACTTGCAGCACTTCAAGAGCAGTGACCACATCAAGTGAACAAACAGTTCTATTCACTGTCGTGGCTCCCAATGTCCAGCACAGGCACAGAGTAGGTGTTCAATATGTATTCACTGAAGGGATGAATGGGAATGATACTAAAGCTAGCATACAATCGTTCTAATTCCATTATGGTTGAAAGATACCCTGGACCAACAAGTGGCATGGAGTTAAGGTGACTGGATCCCATATGGCAGACTGCACAGTTCAAGTCCTGGATCAGATGGCTTGAAAAATCACGCTGGGCACGTGTGTGTGTGCACGCCTAAAATCTCAAGAGGAGAATGGAGGAGAAAGGATTGTGGTGTGGTCATTCTCTGTAAGGAGTAATTTCTTCCCTTTGCCTTGTAGCAAAACGACAAATGAGCAAAAACTAAATACCATAAATGGTGAGACTGGAGTAATATAGGGAGCTTTTAATGCATTGTTCAGGGTAGAGGGACACTACCTCAGTGCAAAGTTGCTATAGCTGTAAATTAAGTCTAAAATAACTATACTTGTAAACATTTTAAGGTTGCAAGGTCCATTTGAGGCTACTGTCAATTATCTACTCATTTACCTTCAAAGGAGTGAAAAGAAATGAAATATTACAGCTCTTAACTACTTTTGAAGGTTGCATGTCTCTTTCCACCTCATTCCAGTTCACTTTTCTTCAGTCTTTTTTGTCCTTTGTAGTACTTACCCAATCTGACTTGTAGGAGGATTTCAGCATCCCTAGTTATCTCAGCCTTGATGTGACCAAATCTCTTCTATCTTTGGTTTGCCTGAGGGAAGATGGGATATTTCAAAAGCTTCAAATACTCCATTACAGAGTAGCCCTTATCCTCAGTCACATATGCCATTCCCTCAGTCACAGATGATTTAGGCTACATGGTTTTTCCACAGCAGCATATCCTAAACTGCCATGTGTGTAGGAATCTCTGGGGAACATGTTAAAACAGAGATTCTTGCTCAGGAGGCCCCAGGATGGGACCAACACTATGCATTCCTAACCTGTCTCCAAGGGCGCTGAAGCTGCTGGTCCACAAACCACATGCTGAGTGGCAGACTGGCTTTTGTACCTCTCAGTTCCCTCAGGTGTACAAGATACATGAAGTGCTAGCCTTAAGTATTTAGTTTAGTAATCTTAAACAATTTTAAGTCAGTGACACTGCTGTTTCTGGTAGGATTTTTTTGTCTCATCCAGAATGTTTTTCCAAGTCTCAGCTCCAGATGTAAACCCAAACACCACCCATCACCTTGTTCGGGCTACTCTGCAACTCTCTTTTCCCTGCAGATGTGCCCTTGATTATTAACTTCTGAGGCATAAAGGGTCCTTTCTGTCTAACCTCAGTGTTCTTCTGGCCTTGGCTGCCCCTAACTTTGCTAAATCTCCTACAACCTGCATCCTCTGGTCACTATGGTTCCAATCCCTAGAAGCTCAACTCTTGCCACTGATCGTTCATTTTTTGGAATCATTTCATAAGCTCCTTGTTAAGCTCCATTATTCACTTATGGTGATAATTTAGAACCTGGAATCAATACGCTACCAGTTGTATGGACTGACTCCACAACTGCCACACTAGCCATGAGAAAGTCTAATGTAAAAGTTTAGCTTCTTTTTTTGGGGGGTGGGGGGAGAGGTTTTTGCTACAGGGTGCATGCACTCGTCAGAGAGACAGAGAGAGACAGAGAGACAGAAAGCAAGAAATCACCCCCCAGGGGGGATGGCCACGCCACAATCCCTTCTCCTCCATCCTCCTTTCGGGATCTTGGGCACGTACACACACGTGCCTTCCACGAGTTTAAGCCACTGGGTCCAGGGCTTGAACTGCAGTTGTCTACATGGGAGCTCAGTGACATAGCCATTGCTCTAACTGCTGGTCCCAAAGTTTAGCTTCTTAACTCATGCCCATACCACTTTGCCCCCTTCCAAACTGTAGCTAGAGTCATGTATTTTTTTGAAATATGAACCTAATGATCATATTTCATTAGGTTCATATTTCATATTTCTCCCTACTCAAAAAGACAGATTACTTCCTCATTCTGTCCCTGTGCTGGTGAGTAAGTTTTCCTAATCTACCATTTGCTTTGTGGTAGTGTGGTAGTGGGGAGAAAGGGTTTGGCCTCCTGTAGCCCTAAAGCCTCACTGTACCCCAGTAGTTGTGAGGTTGATGAGGTCTTTAAGTCCTACAAGGCAGCCAGAGCAGAGCTAACTGCTTTAATCAGTTTCTCCTTCATTTCAGTAACTGAGTGTTTCCCACTTTTAATCAGTTTCTCCTTCATTTCAATAACTGAGTGCTTCCCATTTTCATGATTTCTATTATTCGGTGAAGAGAATACTTTTTATTCTCTTTTCAGCATTTCTAGGAGTTTGAACAGGGCTGTTTTTAGCTTGCCTGCTCTTCCTGGCTACAACTCTTTGCTCTCTGCACTCAGAACATAGGTCATCGCTCACCTCCTCTAGTGTTCAGTTCTTCTTCTGGGCTTTTAATGTTTGGGCTTTCTAGTGGGAAGGCTCTTCCTACTCAATCATCAGACTACAAGGAAAGGTCAATTACATAAGAAATTGTCCTTAATTCTTTCTTTAATTCAAGCTCCTTTCTTACATGTTTTTATAGTTTACTGTTTTTCTTGTATAGCACTTATCATAATTGTACCTAATGTTTGATTCTCCCCAAAAACTAAGCTCCCTGATAGAAGGGTTGGTCTTGTTACATGCTCTACATAGCCCCCATAGCACAAAGTTAGAAATAATGAGAGCTGGCATCCGTTCAGCTTTTTCTGTATGTCTTACCACAATTCCATTAGTATAGCCCCATTTTATAGGTAAGCAGACTGAGGGATAGAAAGATTATATAAATTACCTAAGATCACAAAGCCAGCCAGTAATGAGCAGATATGAAACTAAATCTAGGCAATCTGACACCAGAATCTACTGTCTTTATCTCTGTTTTGTAATACATGGTTGTTCAACACATTTTGTAGAATGACTCTTCCTCACAACCCATGAACTCCTGTATTTCCTGCCAGAGTCAGCTAAAAGATGTCTCATTTCTTAATTTTTCACTACATGGCATTTCCCCAAGGATCTTCTATGTGTGCATTTCCTGGGTGAGAAGCCCCTTGGGCTGATGCTTATCTGTATGCTGGCAAGCCCTGAGCTGTCTGGCAAGCCACTTGGTCAGTCCTCTTTAGGTTCTCTGTGACAACTCACTGATGTGACCCACAGAGCTGGGAAGATCATGTGGTATTTTCTCGTGTGAGCATGCCTGATAACAAGAACTGTTATGTAGAGGATTCTGATAGAGTCATAACCTCACACAATGATCACTGCAACGTGACATAAGAACTACTGTAAAAACATCTTCCCAGAAACGTGTCCAACTGATAACTACCAATGCCAGTAATGGTGCCAATAACAAAGGGTGCCATCAGCTCATCCCTGTTACTATTCCAAAACAATGATGTAGCCACCCCTCACCTCTATCTCCCCTCTGTGTGTGGTTTCATCTTTAAAACTTGTTCAAGAGTTTTAAGACCTCGGTAGCATGTTTAGTGCTATTTGAATCTTGAATTATTCTCATTTGGACTGCATGTCAACTGAAGTCCTCAAGTTTTGGCTCAGAAAAACTTCTTTCAATACTTCATACAGTTTGATTATTTCTACTGACACTGATTAAGGCAGATTCTGAGTCAGCTGGTCTAGGGAGGAGCCTGAGAGTTTGCTGCTGCTGCTGCTGCTTTTTTTTTTTTTTTTTGAGAGATTTTTTTCCTTAGGGTGCTTGTGCTTGCCAGAGAAAGAGGGAGAGAGAGAGAAAGAGAGAGAGAGAGAGAGAGAGAGAGTAAGAGGAAAAGTGAGAAATCACTCCCCAAGGGGGGGTGGCCATGCTGCAACCCCTTCTTCTCCATTCTCCTCTCAGGATCTTGGGCACACATGCACCTATACACCCGGTGTGAGTTTCAAGTTCCTGGGTCTAGGATTCAAACTGTGATCAGCCATATGGGAGTCCAGTGATGTAACTACTATGTCATCTGCATTTCTAACCATATCTCAAGTGATGTCAATGTTATTGCTCTATGGGAAAATTATGAGTGGTCAGAAGCTAGAACAACATACTTCTCTAAGCTTTCATCTCTTAGTACATATTTGGAGTGAATACTATTTGCCTTGTCATATTCCAGTGAGAATAAAATAATGTATATAAAGTACTTAATACTGTGTGTGAAGTACATTAAGTGTTCAATTAATGGTTTAGTTGCTTTTCCCATTTTACTTTTCTAAACATAAGTCAATACCATATCTGTAAATATCTTACCTGATACTAATATTTCCACCAGAAAATTAAAACACCCAGATACATACACACACATGCCTCTTACATCATTATTTAAAAAGGAATTCAATACATACATTTAAAATATTCATCTAGCGTGTAATACAGAAAAAAAAAAAGTAGTCATCTTCACCCTTTTGAAACTTAAATTTACTGTCTAACCACTTAACCTCTGGATATTCTCTGCCTATTAAAAGCTGATGATGAATCACACTAAGAAGAAACTCTCATTGCTTCTGGGTTCTCACCATTACTGTAAATCCGTAAATTGCCCAGAACTGCAGCTTTGAAGACTGTTAGCTCCTAAGATTTCTATTATAAATTTGTACTTAATCTTTGATACTGACTTATCTTTTGGCTTCCTACTTAATTATTTACTAGATACACCTTTCAAAACCCCTGTGAACCAGCTTCTCAATCACCGCTGTCCATTCTTCTGACCTCTCTGTATGTGTCTGTGGCTCCTGTGTCCCTAAAACTTACATTGCACCCGCCTGCCAATGTTCTGGGGAACTCTCTTAATGGATTGATCAAGGAACTTCTCTTGGTCTGGAACTCAGTTACTGACATTTTGACTGACACCAGGCATGAAAATCACATTACCCTGGTTGTATAAAACCTTCACTGGCTACCTGTAAAGTACAGGATTATGTGTAAAGTCCTAGTTATTAACTTACAAGTCCTTAAATTGACTTGGGTTTGAATACCTCAGAGACATTCCGGAACCATACATCCCTAGTCGTTTTCTTTGGTCTCACTCAATTGGATTAGTTCTTTTTGGCTGAAGACATTGAGCTACGGGGCATTTTTAATGTTTGCTCTTACTTATGGAATTTATTAACCATGGAGGTCAGGCTGTCTTACTCTCTGTCAAGCTTTCAGTCCAAATTTAAGAGGTACCTTTTTCAGATCGCTGATTTGGTTAAATAAGTCATAAATCAATCCATTGTTGTTTAGTTTTCAAATCACTGTTCTTTTTTGGTATTTTTATGAATCTGCTTTAAGAGTTTGTTTGACATGTCACAATTAAGTTTTATATTATTCCACTTAAATGTTTTTTTCTTTTTTTTAACATGCTGGGTTGGAACACTGTCAAGGTGAATTTACTAGTTAAATGCTTTGCAAGACATATTACCTTTTTCCATCTCTTTAGAAGGATGTCACGAGGACAATGAGATGTTATATGTGTTTGGATTGTGAAATAGCAGGTATTAAATTTAATTAGATACATATATTTTATCTTATTTTGGTTATTTGTCAATCACCCCACTGTTACGGTACTCGAAATTAATTGAATGAATGAATAAATGGGAACACAATTATAGGTAATGGATTTCTTCAGAATTTTCTTTTCTTTTCTTTCTTTTTTTTTTGCTGTAGGGTATATGCAATTGCCCTAGGAAGATGGGCGGGCAGACTGAGAAGGCACCCACTAGTGGGGATGGCCA